TTTTTCTTCCATATTAAAAAACTCAGTTTTTTAACATTTTTTTAGATTTTGCAAGTAGTTTTTTGAATTATTTATTTCAGGAAAGTGACTTTAAAAAGTTTAAATATATATAGTTTTGTAGAACTCGACGAGCTCTATCGAACCATATAAAAATATCCAAGAAAAAAAATGTTTACTCCATTTTTATATTACTGACGTCTTAAATTTCTACGCCACAAAAGTATAAAATTTCTTATAATTTATTATGTTCGACATTAATAAGTTTTGATAACTCTTACTATCTGGTACCAATAATCCAGTTTTCGACGAGCTTTCATTTGGTACAAAATTCATTAGGTATGCAACTCGAAATTATATCGCTACTTCCCTGGAAAAAGGGTATGCAACACCCTGTACATGTGTTACTTATTTAATCTTATACATTTGTTTTATTTTTCTGAACAGATATAAAAACGAAGAGGTTTATTTTTTCTAGATTATAAAACAAAGTTCAATCTATACACTTTGCTACCCTTTACTCACGAAAGCTAAGTGTACACGTACATTTTACTAAGTAGAACAAAGTGTACCAAAATATTTTGTTTACGGATTCCAGTCGGAACGCTGCTCATGATTAATGCTTTGAATCTTTTTTAACTTCGTTGTAGACGTATGACCATGGGTAATAATAACAAAACTATGTTACATCGTTCATCTGTCTTTGTACCTTTTGAGTCCCTTACGCAACAAATTATCGAATCTGTAGTTTCAGTTGCAACAACATTTCGTAAATCTGGTTTTAATTACAGTGAACGTACGATTCTTATATTTTTACTTGAAATAAAGAAAAAACTAAAAGCTATTGAAAAGAAAATTCAAGAAAATAGCACAGGGATCGATCAAGAATTGATTCAACATGTACAAAATGTTCAACAGTGGCTCGTGGATATAAATAGACAACCATTAAATTGGGCCGAACTTGAAAAGAAATATAGTAGAATTGCTGACGAAAATTGTGATCAAATGGCTCGTTATTATGGATCTAATACTGCTGAGCCTTATTTTGAATTAAAAGTCAAAACTGTAAGTCGCTGACAAGACTTTTGAATAATTTTTTTGACTAAAATTTTTGATCGAACTATACAAAGATGAATAAAAATTGAATGTATGCAAGATTTACTTGATTCATAAGTTTTATTTTAGCGATATGCTGGTGTACTGCAATCGCGTGAGTATATGAAGAAGTTTCGAAAAAATGGCTTTGATCTAAAAGAACTTAAGCTCTACTGGAATGTCAATCAAATTGAAAATCTTTGTTCTGAATCAAGCGGAAAAATTCCATATGATCCATCAGATGAGGATGCTGTTGAAAATCTTCGTCAATATCCTGTTAGTGAACGAAATCATAATGGTAGAATAACTTACGTAACAAATGGCATCGAAAAAGCAGTTTTTGATGTACCAGAAAATGCTCAAATTATTCTTTTGAATTTTGCAGTAAAACGATTTTGTTTTTCTTTCTTCATGAAATGCTATTTTTATTTTAAAGAATGAACAATCTCCAGGTGGTGGATATTTAAGGCATGCACGTAAATTCTATTAAGGAAAGTATTTTTTCGATTAATTATTTATCTTTTTGTTTATAGAAGCACAAGAAGAAGTTCTTCTTTATAATTCTGATGGTTATCGTGCATTACTTGATCTGAAATATGGACGTATGAATGGTGGTTATGCAATACCTGAATTTGGATTAGCTTATGTTCGTAATATTCGAATTTTTAAATCACTATCACCGAATGAATATCGAAAAGCTGATACGTTAGTATCTGCTTGTTATTGTATGGCTGGACGTGAACTTTATCAAAATCCAAGAAACAAAGATGATGTAACTAATGAAATGATATTCTAATGACTTATTTTGTTATAATATTGATTTGTATTATAGTGGGAGAAAAAGAATTTAGCAAAATTTCGTGCGTTTATAGCAGCAGCTGTTGCCAATACAATTGGTGATGGAAAAAACACTTATCTTCTACTTGGACCTATTGGTACTGGTGCATTTGGAAATGATGTTAAGCGTATTGGTGAAGTTTTTCGAAAGGCACTTAACTCACCAATGATGGGTTCGAAAGGATCAATAAGACATGCTTTTGAACATATTTGGTTTGTTTCAATCGATCAATGGAAAAATGAGGAATTCAAGAAGATCTTTGATAAAGATGAATCTGACAACAATTAAATGTAACATAAATAAAAAAGATATTTATATGCAACAAAACTTCTATTACTGAACACCCTCTGATCCGATCGAGTAACCTTTGCCAGTCTCTACTTTCTCCTTTATTACAATCTCGGCATTCTGAATGTGAACGCTTCTATCAAATGAATCACTATCTATAATACGAACATGTACACTAGATATAATCTATTTTCGGATTAAAATTAGACAATCGATTTGCTCATTATATTATTGGTTAGAAAGAGCAAAAGAAGCAATGAACATCATATTTAAAACATGATTAAAATGAGCTACATACAGAAGTATATGCAACTTATTCTTCGCCATTTGAGCCAGTATAATTTGAGTGTGAGTGTGTGCGGATGTGGATGTTTTATTATTTCACATGCACATCTACACTCTTAATAGAACCTCAAAAAAGGTTCTTTATACGTGGCATTCCTGTAAACTCTTTTTCATTTTTTATTCTAGCCTGTTTTCACAGTACGGTTAATACGTATATTTTTTACATTCTTGTTACTTTTCTGCCATATTAGTCAAGAGAAAAACTTTGTATCTACACTCTGATACTATAGGAATTCTCTTGACACGATCTAGTATTGAAAAGAAAAGACTAAAATTATCGTGACTTTGCTTTTTCTATTTTACACTTAGTTTTACTCTGGCAACAAATTTCGATGCAAGAAGGCCTGATTGTATCTCTTCATGTGAATAGTGATCCTCAATATCAAATCATTATCTATTTGAATAAAGGGGTGTGGGTGTGGGT